TTTCTGGTCTGTTTTCTGACAAATTTCAGATGCCATGCCACTTGGAACGTTTTGTGCTAAAATAACTTGTTTTTAGAAAATATAAACAGTCTGCCTAAAGTGTTATTGGCTTACAGAGTTTGAGATGTCTTCTTCAAAATTTACAAATTTAAGACGATGGATCCTAATAATTTGTTGCAAAGACCTTACTTGAACCAAGCCTCACCTGAACCTGAGTCCATGAAGCTCTTGTACTTAGGTCAAGACAAACCGCACATTTCGAATCGCTGCTGTATGAACACGTTATATAGTATAACGTTGTATCAAAATTAAAAACTCTATATTCTGTGTCAATAATTTGTTTAAGAAAAAATCGTTTATTTAAAATACTGGCATAACAGACGGTAACATAAATATGGCCGTGTATCTGGTTAATTTGGAGTACCTTATTGTTTCTGGGTCTATAGTTGCATCAGAAGAGTAGCATCGGCAATAAATATTGTCACACCGGGGAATCGTAGAGGCAAACTAATGAACTTATATCATCGAAGTATATCGTATTTGCTCTACGTAAACTTCAAAGATTTTGAACTAATAATTACCTAGTAAACTGTAACTTATTATGATCAATTTAACTTATTTTGATAAATGTGTATAAAAATATTTTTCAGTACTTGAAATTGACGAGAAAACATGTCGAAATGTTGTACTAATTGAGCAAATGAAATTATAAAGAGTTTTTAATAATTAACTATCTAAATTTAATGGGATATTTTAATAATAATAATAATAATAATAATAATAATAATAATAATAATAATAATAATGGTAATAATAATAATATAAATGAAGTTTTTTTTAAAACACTTAACAAAAGGTATTTGTTTTAATAGTGATGTAAAATTTTAAGCAATTGAAAGAAATTCTTTATTTATTTTCATTGAATAAAATTTGTCAGAGATGTTATAATTATCTACAAATTAAAATTGGAGTTTTGTGACTTCAAAATAACTGCCTTTAAGGATCTCATGTGCATATTGAGAGTACGTAAATTCAAATTCAATTGTTTTCATGATTTTTGTCTCTGTCAGGAGTAATTATTGGAACGGCTGACCGAATTTAAATACACCTGTTTTTCCTGGAAAGTAGTGTTTTGTTGGACCTAACTTAGACTTCATTTTTCATAATATTTCACATAATGTGTGGTGTTTGTATTATGTGATACTGAAATATCTGATTCTATCGTAATACAATTTTGTACTCGTTATATTATAATTATTGTTACTCATAGTATATTGAATAAGTATTGTTACCTTCAATACATGAAATATGCATTAGATTCCGTAAAACTATCCCCTTTTCGAACCCTTTGAAAGTAAAATTAAGTGCATTCTTTCTGTTTTTCTCGCACTTCTCGACAACTTTGAGGAAATTCACCGAAGTGAATTAAATATTTTGAAAGTTTATTGAATTTCTTATTAGATACATTTTAATTCATTCCGATAACGCAGTTACGCTTTAAGTAATGCAACACAATTTTCATTGAACTTTGCCGTGTGTGTGCAACAATACACCTGTTTACAGCTAACCGTAGTAACGATGGTTGTAGCGATGATACTTGTATGAATGAAGATAGATTGTGAGGGGCGGGGCGGGGCCAGGTTACCTTAATCGTGGAGGGGTGGTTGAGAAGGGTCAGGGTGGAGCTGGGAAGGTGGGATGAGACAGTGTGACCGCTCAGAACATCAACTGATGTCACTACAGTGCCTCTGACCGGGAGGACCAAGGTTCCAATTCCGGCGGTGGCGGTAGGTTTTTCGTCTCTGGCTAGATGACTAAGACTAGTTCCGGCGCTACCGGGGAGAGAATTCTAGCGACTCCTCTGATCGGCAGTTTTCAGTGGTTGCTCCAACCAATGCCAGGCGAATGCCGGAGCAGTATTCTAACAAATGGGACACGAACCGCACGCAATCTTTCCTTTCCATTCTTCGTCCTATTCTACCCTTTGTTTACATACACACACACTTTCGTGTACTACACTGCCACACACGCCACGAGGCCGGTGGGGAACTTCATTGCTTTTGCTGAGGCGGTGCGTCTCAGGTTGGGAAAATCCCGCCTGGTTGGGAAAATCCCGCTAGCCGACAGTAGGTCGGTGCCGGATCTCACCATCCAGCGAGCGAAGATCACTGCCACCTCCCAAGCAAAAACACGCACAACACTTACGGGATTAATGGTGTTATCAGTTGACGCGCCCGGAAACACTAATCAATGAAAATGAGACTGGGTGAGGCCGAGTGGGAGGTGAAGAAACGCGGCTGAATAGCTAAATGTGCGAAATAGATGGCGATATTCCCTACGCTCCTGCAACCCACTGCATTCATCACGCTCTTCCCTTACGGCTGAATACTTTCCATTGTTTGTACATATTTTCATTACTCTCGCCCTTTCAATAGCGTCATTTTTCGTACGCGCGGAAAAATCTGGGGGGCGGGGCGTGACTCGGAGTGCGGAGTGCAACTATCCTCTCTCGGTTCTCTTGCGCATCGGGAGGTCTAGGGGGTCGCTTCTTTAGGGGGTGCGACGGTCATCGCGATTGGCTCCTGGTGGTGGTCACACAGTCATTCTCAAAAGCATCAACTGTCACTTACACCGAACGCATGGTGACATCATATTAAGCGACAGAAAGAAAGTACCCAGCAACGGGTGCAATAGCCAATAAAAAGTTTAGCGCATGCGCGGTGGATGTTTTTTACCTTCTCAGTTCACCTAAAATATTTCATGTTCTGTGAATGATAAGAGCAGGAAAGAAGAACGAAAGCAACCCGTGAGTTGTCGTGGAGCCCGACGGGGTGGCCGGATCTCTGCGGAAGGCGAAAGACTGAAGATCGCATCTCTTCCCATATTTGTAGTTTACTTCAGATGTTAGCAATATCGGAATCGATACTGGAATACCGTTTATGTGAAGGAATCAATGTTGGACATGCGCGTACAGAATAAATTAGGAAGAAGAAAAATCTGGAATGTAGTTAGTGAATGAATTCAAATATCAATACTAATAACTCCAACTGCATGCTTGCGAATTTTGTCCTCTTGCTCAGAATACTTCCAGTCTTTTGGCACAAGTAGTACCCGCATAACGTTTTGATTGACTTTATGCTTCTTCAATTTTCACTAATATCGCACATGAGCTACGATAACTCTAAATTTTCTATCGGCATTTTGATTTTCCTTTTATTTTTAAATTATATGAAAATGTAAATGTAGATGCTGTATATCGCTTCATTTTACAGTCTAACTAACCAAAATTAAAACATTGTTCCTCCGGCTTAGGTGGACGAAAGTATCAATTGATGTCATTACAGTGCCTCTGACCGGGAAGTTCTAAGATTCGAGTCCTGACGGTGGCAGGATTTTCGACAATACCTGGGTCTAATTTAGCCGCTGCGTGGAAGAGAATTCTAGCGACTTGCTGCTCTGATCGGTAATTTTCCGTGGATTATCCGATTGATGCCAAGCGATTGCCGGAACCATACAAACGGGCCATGGACCGCGCACGATTTCTTCGTCCTCTTCCTGGACCTATCTTCCCCCTTTACATTTATATGCCCTACACTACCTCACATGTCGGGACTTTATCGCGGCTGGGGCGGTGCCACGCAGGAGAGAGACTCTGGTTCGGGCAAGCCGACGTGTATATCGGCGCCGGATCTCACCCTCCAGCGGGGGAAGATCACCGCTAACTCCCGCGAGAAAAAATGCTCTACACTTACGGGACTTTCGCAGTCTATTCGCCCAGAAAAACTAACCAATCCATCAATCAAAAACACAATTCCAATATTTTTTATTTGCCCTTGAGAAGCAATGGTTCTTCCTCCAACGTAGTTCATGGCCAAATGTTTAAAATGTCGTTGCATACCTCATTTACGTTGAAATATCTATTTAATTTATTTTCGCAACTGATATGGGTTTTAAAAACGAAGATATTTTTTCTATAATCAAAAGATAAAAAGTAAATTAAATACATAGATTAACTTGACCGTGAAATAAGGTCAACTTTAATTTCACATTTAGAGACTGTAATGAAACCAAAAGTCTCGAAACGTTGAATGCATGTCAATAAAATCATTTACTAAGCCTGACATTTAAAATTTTTAGCATAAGGTGGATTGTTTGTACCCACATCAATAAAACTAATATATCATACGAAAAAAAATAATAGTGCACAGGACTGTCATTAACAAAACGCGGACAGAACTTAACATTATACACATCCAACTGCCAGTTCATTCTTCAGTTACATTATAAGTTGTCTGACTATAAGTATCGATACCCGGGTTTTGGTATAATCGACGTTCCAAAACATTTTCTTTGATTTATTGATTTTATGTACCGTTCCAGTTTAGGTGGCTCGGGGCATGTCATTGCAGTGTCTGGCCGGGAGGTCCTAGGGTTTTAGCCCCGGTAGTTGCAAAACTTTCGACACTAACTAGACAGCTAGATCGAATTCAGCCGCTGTCTGGGAAAGAATTCTGGTGGGCGCCTGCTCTGATCGGTAGTTATCCGTAGTTTCTCCGATCAACACCAAACGAGTGCCGGAACAGTACCCTAACAATCGGACCAAGGACCAGGCGCGATCTTTCCTTCCTCTTCATTTCCTCTCCCTCACACATACACACACAAACACACACTCGCATCCTCTACAGTTCCATGCATGCGGGGAGATTAGTCGCGAACTTAGAGCTTGTCCCAGCGGGGGCAGTACCCCACTGATGAGAGATACATGGATGGAGAAATCTCCGATAGCCAGCGTGTAGGTCGGCACGAACTCACCATCTAGATAAAAAATCACCGCCACCTCCCGTGATAAAACATTCCTACACTAAGGAGCAGAATGATCACAGCAATTCACGCGCTCAGAAACACAAAATAATGAATGGATGAGTGAATAAATAATAAATGTACCGTATCGAATCACTCTCCCTGCCTGCCTCGACTGAGGACGGGTTGAGGCGAGTGGGATGTTGAGCGGGGGCGCCGCTGTTGCAGAACTGCCCGACGAAGGCGGAGGCGCGGCGGAGCGCGGCCAAGATCGCCCTCATGAACTCCGTCTTCAACGAGCACCCCTCCCGCAGGATATCCGACGACTTCATCGAGAAGGCCGTGGCCGAGGCCAGAGCCTCCTTCAAGGTAAGGCGACGACCGCGCGGCTGCGGTGGCGGCGGCGGCAGCGCGACGTGGAGCGACTGCCAGCCACTTTCTTCCTCCTTTTTTCTTCGCTTGAAATTCTCTGTTCGGCCTCCGCGCGCGCTCCCCTGCAGGTCAGCTGGCCAGGAATAGTAATAGCGTCACTGGGTGACACGTGGTGCAGCTGTCAGGCCCCTCGCCTTGCAGCGCAGCGGCCGGGGTTCGGCTCCTTGTCGACCCACGTAGAATTTTGTGGGCAAATTGGGTAAAGCAGATACGAGCAGTGGCGAACTTAGCATTATCGAGGCCCCAAGATAATATATTTTAAGCCCTCTTTTTACTGATACCAATATAGTTTTCAGATTGGAGATTTTAGCCTCTTCTCTCAAAATTAATTTTACAACTAAAACATGCCTTCAAATAATTTAATTCTAATTTTAAATTTAAAAAATTGATAACCATTGTCTATAACTAATCTATACATTATATAAAAATTAATGTTGGTGTATAAGAGCGGTAACCTCCGACACCGTGTTATCGATCTCCTTGAAAGTTGGCACTTCGTGTTTTTTCACACAAAAGATTTATGTGCTCTTAATTTTGTTGTAACTCCACTAGAAGGCGCTGCAGAACAAAATTGCGCTTCATTTTAATTCAATTTTCATTCAAACTGTGCTCAACCTGGGCTTCAGTTTTGCTGAGCGTTGCTTTGTGGCGCAGGGGAGGCCCAGAAGGTGAGGCACAGAGACATGGAGAGATGGGGAATGGGAAGAACAGAGAGACGTAGACAGACAGGGATATCGACAGAGAGAGGCAGAAAGTGAGAGAGAGAGAAGGGGAGTTAGACAGTGAGAGTGATGCAGAAGGGCAGTGAGAGTGATGGGGAAGGAGGAAGGGGAAGATGAAGGGCAGAACAACCTCTGACGGGTTCCACTAGTAATATCTTTACGTCAACTTTATTTTCATTAGTAAATTGAGTCTGTCTTGTCTCATAGTAGCTCGATACGAGTTTTAACCCCTTTTAAATTTATTAATTATATTTTGCCTGTACGATTACTGTGTACGATTGAACGACAACGAAACATCTATGTTGCCAAACATCGTCCAAAAACCATCGATAATTTTAAGCATATATTTTGGTGGGTGATATTTGCCTCACGTCTTATGTTTTATTATTATTATTATTATTATTATTATTATTATTATAAATAATATTAATATTAATATTTTTATTATAATTATACTATCGTTATTTAGTGCAGTAAACGCGAAATATTGTTTATTTTTATTTTTGTCAATTACTATAAGCAACATTCATATAATTCAGATAATAACCTAGTATTTTTTACTGTGTTAGTCATTTTATTAATCTGATTTGCAACCGAACTAACAGTTAGTATACTGAGGTTACAGAGTGTAAAAGTCATTTTTACTCATTAAGAAGACCCTTCTATAACCCTGGAGTTCCTCTTATTGCGTTTATTTATAAACTCTCAGAGCATTTATTTCTGGCTGATATAACGTCATCATTCACGCGTTCTTTGGTTCTAAGAAATCTTTACTTCCAAGACGAGAACAGGTATATCCTGATAACTTAAGTATATGGACAATAATTATGTCCGAGGAACCAACGGGAAACGGTGCTTCCGACAACTTCTTTCTGACAGGTCCGTTGTTTCTGCGAAACGAGGTCCCCCGAAACCTTTATTTCTGCCAATTCGATCATTGTTTTAATTCCTTGAAGGAGAAGTTTGACCGCAGGTATTGACAAAGAAGCAAACTCTGAAAGAAAACACGGTAACTTAATATTTTCTAGTTGTCGTGTTTCTTTCTGTTATTTAAGTTTTTAAAGTTTTCCACGAATTTACTATGACAAGGTGTGATTAATGGAATACTGTCTTTCACAACAAGATTCACAACATTGGGATGTCTTAATTTCATATTTGTATTTAAAAGGAAACTACAGTTTGTCAAAAAGAACGGATAGGTAATATAAACCGAAGGTAATTATTATTTTCAGCGGCAAGTTTCTTAATCTTTGTTCGAACATTTCAGTCATAGTTTATGACAGCATAACAGCACGAAAAAAAACATTGACACTCTTCATAAATCAATGAATGCGCAGCTGCTACAGCAATATTTGGTGACACAAGAATTAATAGTGACCTACTACATTACACATCTACTACATTTGAACGACATCTGAAGCCCTTGCGCATCGCAGAAATTCGGTCCCAGGTTTGACTCCCGGCAGTCTCAACGTGTGATGTGCGAACGGTGTGCGCTTTTGTCGCGTTGAGATCCTGTCGAGACGAGACGAGACGAGGCGAGGCGAGGCGAGGCGAACGCCATCCCATGGAGCATTCCGGCCGTGCAAGCCGCAAATGACGTGGCGGCAGCGCAGTGGCGGCGGCGGCGGCGGAGGCGGAGGCGGAGGCGGAGGCGGCGGCGGCGCAAGGTCAGGGATGTTGCAGCGCGGTCGCCGCCGCCGCCGCCGCCGCCGCCGCCGCCGCTGCATGCCAGAGCCTGCCGGAGAGAGGACCGACAAGAGAGAAGCGGAGGGAGGAGAGCAGGAGAGAGAAGAGAGAGAGAGAGAGAGAGACATGAGAGAGAGAGAGAGAGACGAGAGTAAGAGAATATAACTTTTGTCGTATCTAACTCTTGAGTCTAGACTCACATAGTTACACGGAAGAAAACTGTAAATTCCATCCCCCGTTGAACTTGCAACGGTACAGTGCCATAACTACACGGATACTGCTACAGTGCCTTAGCTCTTGCCCGTGGCCCTAATCGACCGACATGAATCACCGGAATCCAACACAAATCACCGCGGCAACAGAGGTATGTGATAGCAGTGGCTCCAATGTAGCGAGTATTAGCCGTGATCCTCGGGGCGTTTTCAGATCGCGGGCCAAGGCGTTTGGGAGCTCGTGGTCAGGGGACGGGCTGCGGCACAACCCGGCGGGGCCTGACGCGGAGGA